CTCAGCGGCTCCCCCCAGTTCAGGGCGATCCGAGGCCCGACGGTACCGCTCTGCCAGTAGCGAGAGAGTGGGGAGGCGGAGCGGGAGGAGGAGCGGGAGCAGGAGGATCGGGAGGAGCATAGGGGAGGGGGTGGAGGAGGAGGCGGGGCCGGGAGGCGGAGGATGGATGCCACCTTGGCGAAAGCGAGGGGGGACGGAGGGGGTGGAACGGGAGGAGGAGGAGGAGGAGAGGAGGAGGAGGAGGAGGAGGAGGAGGAGGAGGAGGAGGAGGAGAAGAAGAAGGATGAGGAGGAAGAGGAGGAAGAGGAGGAAGAGGCAAATGAGGAACAGGGGGGGGTGTTGGAGGAGGAGGGACGAGGAGGAGGGACGAGGAGGAGGAGGGACGAGGAGGAGGAGGAGGAGGAAGAGGCGGGGGAATGAGGAGGAGGACGAGGAGGAGGAGGAGGAGGTCTCTCGCTGTCGACCACACTACACCTGCACTGTTGCACTGCACACCTGCATACCAGTGCCTAGGCCAGGACACGACCTTAATGCCAGTTTAATTGTAGCTCGTGCTGCATGCTTGACACGTGTCTGGCATGCTCCCACCACCGCATCTCTCTCTCTCTCTCTGTCTCACTCTCTCCCCTCTCTCTATATGTCGCTCCCCCTTCTGTAGCCACTTCATATTCGGACGGTAGCTGTGCAGCTTCTTCATCGTATCATATTCGTCTACATCGCTTGAGACAACATACAGGCTTTCATGGAAAAATGATGACTCCAGCGTGGATCCCAGACAGTGGACTGATCCAACACAGACCGTGCACTGCAAGACATTCCAACCCCCCCACACACATGTTTTCTGTCTGCGACACAACGCACTGCAAAGCAAAGCGACGACAATCACACCGATGCAACATCAACCACACAAACAAGCAAAACAATGCAAGCCAATGCAAGTCAGTGCGGCTCAATGTGAACCAACGCGATGCAAAGCTGTGCGACGGACCCTATGGCGTAAACTATGGTGAACTGTACCGCGCGACCTATCGTACCCGAACGTTCTCGAGGCATCATAGAAGCAGATCGGCGCACCTCATGACGCAATCGGTTGGGACACCAGTGGCAGGCAACCGCTCATCGACCACCATGCACCGTCCTCCACAGTTCTCCAGGGCGCAGGCACGAACTCCTAAGTGCAAGCGCTGTTCGGGGGAATGATGGGCACGGGTTGGCGGCGCGCACAAGGGGGTGCGCCAGGTGGTCGCCTTCTAAGAAGTCGGGGGATCTTGACCCAGAGCGGTCTGGCTTCTGCCGATGATGTGCATGCTTCTAACGCGCCCCGCTCATTAGAGCCCTGCTGCTGGCTTCGCAGGTCAAAGTAATCATGGAAGGCGGGGCCTTAATTCGAAGAAGGGCCAGAAGGCTTCTAAGAAGCCTTCTTGCCGGACCTCCGCCTTCCTAGAAGACCGACCACTTTCGCGCCCCCCCCCCGCGCGCCGCGGAACGAGGGGGGAGCGGATGGGAGGGCCCGTCCCCCGCTCCCGTAACCACAAATGGGGTGAGGGACCGGACCCCCCATGGGTTTCGACTAGACCCCGACGGGGAGGCCAAGACGACGGGGAGGAACTCGCACCTCATAGACCACCCCCAGAGCTCTGCCACCCAGATGCGCAGCACTCCAGTTTGAAGGAGGAGGAGGAGGAGGAGGAGGAGGAGGAAGAAGACTCGGGTAAACCCAAGGTGCTTCAGCGATGCTGCGACACACCCTCCCATCTGGGACTTGAGATGGGCCATCTCAAGTCCCCTCCTCATGCATCCCTACGAGCGCATCTTTAGACTCGCGGCCATAACGAGCGCTATGGGGGGGGGGGCGGCGGAGGGACATAACGTAACGCCCCCCCCCCCCTCGCGGAGCGTGGTTCCGGCACCACAGCGCCTGTGCGCATCACAGCAAGCACCACAGTGCGCAGCACAGTATGCACCCGCAGCCGCGTGCACCACATCGCCTATGTACTGCGCAGTGTATACGTGCAGCACCACAATGTTTTTCCCCTCACACCCTCCTTCGATCATTCTTATGGAGGCTGTCTGCTGGACGACGAGGGCGCCCGAGCGCTGGAAGACGACGACGATAACGACAACGACGAGGACGAGGACGAGGACGAGTAGGGGACGGGGACGGGGACGGGGACGGTGACGTGACGGGGGCGGGGACGACGACGACGACGACAACGACGACGATGACGACGGCGACGACGACGACAACAACGAGGACGAGGACGAGGACGAGGTCGACGACGACGAGGACAAGAACGACGAGGATGAGGCCGAGGTCGACGACGACGAGATCAAGAACGACGACGACGACGACGACGCCAAATGCCTCTGAAGGTCTCCGGAGGTCTTCTGAGGCTTTAGGGGACGGGGACGACGACGACGACGACAACGACGACCATGACGACGACGAGACGACAACGCCGACGATGAGGACGATGACGACGAGGACGAGGACGACGACGACGAAAACGGGGACGACGTTGACGATAACGACGAGGACGAGGACGAGGACGAGGACGACGACGCCTCTGAAGGTCTCTGGAGGTCTCCGGAGGCCGCCTTAGAAGGTCTCTGCAGACCTCTGGAGGCGTCTCGAGGCCCTTGGACGTTCTCGGCGACGACGACGACGAGGACGACGACGAGGACAAGGAAGAGGAGGACGAGGTCGACGATAGAGACGAGGACGAGGACGACGATGACGACGACGAAAGCGACGACCACGACGACGACGCCGACGCCGACGACGACGACAACATCGACGACGACAACATCGATGACGACGACGACGATCAGGAATGGGACGATTTTGCCCCTCTATCTTACACTCCAACCCGCACTCCTCGCGGCCAAGTGTGGTTGAAATCCACCGACCCTGTCGGCATGTGTGAGGGGCTTGTCCGTTCAAGTCGTCATCTCCGTCATTCGTTGGTCGTCGTCTCTGTCGTCCCATTTCCCTGCCGCCCCCATTTCACTGGGCTCGTCGAAGCTCCCCCCTTTCCCAGGGACCTCCTCAGCGCGCCAGCCGAAGCAAAGTTGAGCAACGTCGTAATTGAGTCGAAGGGAAGCCCCTTCCCTTCGATCCCTCCCCCGCCGGGGGGGGGGGGGGGGTCAGATACGACGCCCCCCCCCTGGGAGTCCCGGAGCCCAAAAAAACCCAAGACGGGCCAAGAGTGCCCCAAGAGGCCCCAAAGACAGTCCAAGAGAACCCCGAATCGCCGAACGATCTGTCCAAGACGCCTTGACAGCCTCCAGACGGCCCAAGAGGCCTGCAAAGCGCCCCAAGAGGCCTCCAGGAGCTTTCCCACGAGAGCCCCAAGAGGCAAAATTCATGGATTTCCCATACGTTTTTGGAAGATGTTGGCGTTCTTGCCTCTTCCGCTTCCCGACGCGCCAAGACGGCCCAAGAGGCCCCCAAGATCAGAGAGAGGCCCCCAAGAGGGTCCCCTAACGGCCGAAGAGGGCCCCAAGACGGCCCAAGACGCCTCCAAGATGGCCCAAGAGGCCCCCAAGACGGCTCCAGGAGAGTGCCCAGACGGGGGACCCGAACGGACATTTCGAGCTCTCAGCCCCAAGAGGCCCCCAAGAGGCCCCGAAGAAGCCCCAAGAGGCCCCAAGAGGCTCCCAAGGGGCCCCCAAACTGCCCCAAGACAGCCCAGGAGAGCCCCAAATTGCCCAGGAGGCCTCCAAGAGTGCCTCGAGACGGCGCAAGAGGAGCCCTGGACGGCCCAAGACGGCCTCAAGAGAGCCCCAGGCTGTCCCAAGAAAGCCTCTGGCCTTCTCCTCTTCTTCCTCCTCCTCCTCCTCCTCCACCTCCTCCTCCTCCTCCTCCTCCTCCTCCTCCTCCTCCCCCTCCCCCCCCTCTGCTCCCCCTCCTCCTGCTCTCCTCTGCCTCCTTCTCCTCCTCTTGCTTCTCCTCCACATCCTTCTCCCCCCTCCTCCTCCCTCATCCACCTCCTCCACCCTTCCTCCACCTCCCACTCATCCTCCTTCCCCTGCCCCCCACCCTCGTTTCCATCTTCGTCGTTCTCAGGGTCGGCGGCACCGGCCGTAAGGCCTTCGCAAGATCCTCTGGCTTGTTGTCGGGGACGAGAACGGGGACGACTACGACGACGAAAACGATGACGATGACGAGGACGAGGACTAAGACGACGACGACGACGACGACGAATACGACGACGACGGCCGCCTCTGAAGGTCTCTGAAGGTCTCTGGAGGCCTAACGAGGTCTCCGGAGGCCTCCGGAAACGTCTGCAGGCCCTGCGAGGCCCTCGGACACGACAACGAACGTTGAAGTAGCATGCAAGCACCACAATAGCCTACGAGCATCACACAATGACAGTGCCTGAGGAGCACGTCCGGGGGGGGTGAGCGTTACGTTATGGGGGGGGGACGGGGGGGGTATAATGCGCGTTATGTCCCACAGGGTTAAAAAAACGCTCTACAGGTTTCCCTCGTCACTGCAAGAGGCGCTCCCCTTGAAAGACCAGCGTAGTTTGGTCTGCAATTTTGGACAGGTCCCCACTTTGAGAAGGAGCTACCTTGCATCCCACTGGTGCGTCATCAGGAATGCAAGGAACAACGTTCATACAACATTCAATTGAACGAGGTGTCTGGCGATATCCTCCTTCCGAAGAAGGACCGCCCCCAATCCGTGAAACCTTTGCACAAGTTTACGTTTATGGTCCTGAACCCGAAGGAAGTTTTACGCGAGATCTCCATGCTGAAAAAGAGCAGCCCTGTATTAGTACTGTGCTGCATGCGTTGAAGCTTCGGACCTTGAAACATGAAGCAGTCTCTAGCGAGAATCCTTGAAAACAAGTAGTCCCCGATTATTCTAGTTGTTGCGCGAAAGTGAATGTGCACGGCGCTGGGGCGACAACCACATTTTGAAAACGGCCCGTGCTACATCCTTGACGCTGCTGCAAGCCCCGCGTGCGCGCGGCGCTACGGCGAGGTCCAGA